CCCCAAAACCCCAAAACCCCATGAGCAGAATATCAATTGAAACTTTAAGATTGTTCTAGTGAAAGTATTCCAAATAAGAATAAAGATTGATTTAATGATAGGATAGAAATGAAGCGATAAATTATGAGCGAATCAATCTGTTTCATAGCTATCATCTTCTGATTCCTCTTCGTCTGCTGATTCAATATCAGCAAACTTAGACATGAGGTTACTCTTTTGAGCCACACTCATTGATCCTTCTTCTCCTTTCTTTTTGTCTGGATTTAGTGCTCTTTATCTCAGCATAATTTATTCTTTTAATGCATCCATCTAAAATTGAATAAGTAAATAGTTAGTTTTACATGAGATTATCTTCTCTAGAAATTTGGTGCTTATTTGAATTCCTCTTTTTTGGGATTGGTAGCCACTGTAGTTCCTTTCTTTTATAAGTTGTTCGCTGCTGCTGCAATTTACTCCGAAAAACTTAAGACCTTTTAAATATTGGGGAGTGGAGGAGGCATTTTCTAACTAGTTGTAGTCTAGTTCAATTAACTTTGGTTCAACATTGATTGATTCATGGTATTATTTTACTGCTGTACTATGGGAGGTGGAAGGTGCTGTATAATGGGTGGAGGTAATTGCTATTAAACGATAGGAGGAGGTTTTAAACTGTTAGCATTAGGATGAAGAAAGTTTGACTTATTAACTTCTTAACTAAAACTTGATTCTTACATGATAGGTCCATCTCTCCTTGACTAGTTTGACGGAGAGTTCAAGAATGATTAGTGATCAAAATCATCAAAAATTATAGAGTCATCATTCTTTAAATCAATATCCGGCATGTGGTTTCTTCCTTTGTTATTTATAGGTGAAGGGGGATCATTCTTCTTATCGGACATTATATTAATCTTAGGAGGAGGGGGAGGAGGTGGAGGAGGTGGCAAGTTATTTGGCTTTGGCTAAGTCATAATTGGAGGAGGAGGTGGAGGGGGAGGAGGTGGTGGTGGTGGCGCTCCTTTCTTTTGGTCCTTTAGATGAGCATGAAAGTTTGCTATTGGGGGAGGAGGAGGGGGACCTCCAGGGCCTCCACCTACTTTTGGAGCATTTGAAGCATTCATTCCAGGAGGAGGTGGGATTCCACCACCTGGTGGGGGAGGCATTCCTCCAGGAGGGGGTGGGCCTGGTGGAGGTGGATTTGTTCTTGGAGGCTGCTATTGCTGTTATTGTTATTATTGCTACTAGGGAGGATTTTATTATTACTACTTTACTTAAGGCTGTTATTATGAGTTTTAAGTATAAATAGTGTCACTTCTTTGTTTGTAATTAAGCTATGTTTGAGCGTTTGTATCAATTGTTGTCTGCAAATTAATAACTGGATGTTAGTAATTTTCGGTATGCATAGTTCTTGACATAGTATTGGACATTTATTTTAGCTTCTTATTTACTCCTTTCTTGATAAGCTCTTCAACAGGTATAGCTTTTACCTTTTCGTCGTAATAGTCAACCTATTGATTTTACTCTAAAAGTTGTTATTCCTCATATGCTCTTTTAATTTCCTCCTCTTCCTATTTCTTTTTTTCATATTCCGCTTTCTCCATAGCTCTTTTAGCAGCAGGAGCTATATCTACCTCAGAGATGAAGGTATTATCATTCATGTTGTAATCTTAATATTAATGCCTGGCAGAATATTACTAATTCAATTAAGGTTGATTAAACTAAGTTGTGTTATTAATCTGAGACTCATTCAATTGATTGTTGATTTAGCTTTGTTATAATGTTTGAGTCTTTTGGAACTTCTTTTGCTCATACTCTTTTATTTCCTTATCATACTCAGTAATATCAGTAACCATTCCTAGTCCATCTAAAGTTTCTTTGAACTAGTAAGTTGGAGCTTATTTATGAATGGGCGTATACCCGATAGAATCAGCATTTTACTTAATCATCATTCCTTCATCTCCAGCCTTTTTCATCACACTAATTGGAGCTTCTTAGAGATTTTAATATGCATTTTTCTACTGTATTTAGTAATTTTTCTTTAGCATATCCCTTTTATTCTTAAGATAACTTTAGTTCCTCTTGCTTCTACTAACAGGCTTTGTACTTCTAGTTTTAAAGTCATACTCAGGAATGTAAACATTTGCATCTCCATAAACGTTGATATCACTGTCAAATAACATCAATTCTGCTATTGACTCAGTATTTTCTGGGACTCTTCCAAGTAATCCTTCAGACTGTTCTAATGCGCCTCCAGGTAAATTTGCTTGCTTCGTTTGAAGACCTTATTTGAAATCGCTAATTGTTGATCTATATCTTTAGAATGACAAAATTAGATTCGAAATATCATTGATATCTTTCGTGACTCCAGAAACAAGTTTCTTCAAGTTTTCAGGCTCATTTTGAAGTCTATTGTTAAATAACTTCCTTAACTTGACGCTACTAAGTTCTGGATAATCTCCTGGCCTTTAATTTTAGTCGAAAGAACTCATTGGATCAAAGAACATCGATTAGTGAGGATGAGATTATTTGTTGTTATCTTTCTAAACATCAGGGAAATGAGCTGGTGAGACGATCCTCATGGCAGATTTGACTCCATATAAGGTTAAAATCTTCTGTGAGATGCCCAGAATTCTACCGTTGATAGTATTTAATCTTTCTTTGCGCTGATTAACATTGTCAATGATTCTGTTATTTATGTCAACATAAGCTTCTTCAGTTCTTTGAAGTGATATCATTGCTCTGTCTAAAAGCTCCATCTCATACATTTCGTAAGAGCAAACATTAATTTTAGTCTCTTTCAGTCGACCACTTTCTAACTTGATCGCTGAGGACTGCGTCGAACCTTGTGACTGCATATCCTATTTTAATTATTATAATAAAATTAATTTCAGAAATAGATAGAATGATAACTTTATATTCCATTAAGGGGTTTTGGGGTTTTGGGGTTTTGGGG